TTTATGTATGATGATCATTACGGTGAGAGGGAAACTATTATGAAACTTTAAATCTTATAGAGTTATCTGTAATGAAACTTTAAACATCAGGGAGAGAGATGTAATTTTCAAAAGGTGAGGGGGGAAAATATAATAAATATAACCCTCAGGGGGTGTCAATGTAATTTACCCAAAAAAATTTAAATTTCAAATAGGATGAATAAGTTTTTTTTAATATAAAATAGAAAAATAATTCAAAATGAAAGAAGAATAACATATATATTTTTTATACCGGAAGGACATTTTATATATAAAATGATATATACATACATACATATATATATATGTATATTTATTTATTTAAAGTTCTATGACAAACAATAATGTTCATAGAAACAGGCGCCATAGCCCTCCATAGTCATCTCCAAATTTCGTTCTTGGTCACCGTTGTAAAAATAAACCATGTTTTTACTATATTAATCCAGTCAAAAATCAAAGTACCATAATCTATATTCAGCTAAGGACCTAACACAGTTAAATTTGGGCACTATCGTCCAAATGCTAGGCCTAGCATTGCGTGGAAAACAGTTCTAACCATATGGATCCATGTTATTTTTGGTTTGACAGCATTTCGGGTACTATCTATAACATGCCACCCCTTCAATGGGCCATATAAAAACTCACCATAAAAGTGGGTGGCACTTACTTTGCCCCCAACAATCAAATAATAGAAAAAAAACAAATTAATCCAAATCAGAGACTCCATCCACATGTTTTTGAAGGCAACAGCTGTTGAGCTAATGACCCAATATCAGACAACATACGGGCAAGTGGTGACAATGGAACTTTTACATCATGGGTAAAAAAAAACCTAACATACACAGTAAACATGGTATGCATGTGTTGGACATGATTTGTTGCCATTATCAAAACACAAAAAACATAAATATCTTTGTCAATATATGGTTACCTTCACCAGAAGACAATCCACCTCACATGGCCAAATCACATTTCAAATTTTAAAGAAACCAAGTGCAGACAAACAATAGAAGAGTCGCTGAAAGTTCTTTTCAGTAGAATAACAAAATAAGTGCTTTACTTAAATATAAGGAGAACAAGAATGTGGCATTGTCTGACAAGTGTATTGAGATTCAATCCCATGCACTGTGTAGTTTGGTGAGATGTCTAAATCCAAATCAGGATTGGATGGTCTAATTCAGTTGTCACACCATTGGCCACCCATGACTGCCACCTCACCAGTATGATTGTTTTTGTGATCAGGATTTAGTCAGACAACAGAACTAGCATAAGCTGGCACTACCAAAACTTCCAAGAAGAGATCCAAAACAATTTCCAACTCCTAATTTGATCCTATCAATAAAGCAACTCATTTCTTTTGGGCACATTCAAGTGTGTTCTTAATATCCCCAAATATCCCACTAAGACTGTTTGGATCTTGGATTTTCCTTTTCTTTTTCACTTTTCTCTTCCCTTTTCTTTTCTCTCTACAAATTCAAGATCCAAGCACCACATAAAAAATCTCAACTGACTTATTTGCTAGGCCTCTGGTGTTGCCATGTACAATTAAGCAACAAAACCCTCTCAGCAAGGTACAAGAAGGAAGACTTTGCAAGTCCAAAACAACATACATGTATCTCTTGTTGCAGTCAAGTGCATAGAAGGGTTGATTTGCCAAAACAAAAAAAGCAGCAATATCTAAATTGATAAATTTTGCTAGTTAACCCAAACATGATCACAATGTACAAATCAAATCATAGAAAATGGTTCTGTATCTGTACCAGCTGGATGGTCCCTTGGAAATCTGATGTGGTTCACTGATTCTCATCCATGTGATGTGACAAAATCCACCAAAGATAAGGAACTTAAAAAAAAATAAAAATAAAAACCCGCAGTTTGAAGAAAGGAACAATGCCTAGTTATTGATAATATGACCAGAGATGCTAAGCAGAAGACAAAATTAGAAAGAATTAAGCTTGACCCATCCATGCTCAGAGCCAATGGACAAATTTGAGCTGGATTTTTAGAATCAGAATTGGGCTGGAGTTCAAAATTCCAAATTGACCCGAGAGGTCTGGTTCTCTTTAATGATTTGTGCCAAGTGCATCAAATTTAATGCCAAAGTCCCTAGAAAAGAAAGGTCATTCCCCAATGTTGGACTGATAATAGACCTTAATTTTATAATTATTTGCTTCGTGTGGCTGCTTTAAACTTGAACCCTCATTCTCACACAAGATGTCCTGAGCTTTTGCCAATGTACCAAGCAATGGACCCTTGGTATCAAACTCCCAGGCACATGAAGCTGAGTATAAAAAGCAGAAAGGCCAATTTGAATGAGAAATTGCAGTAATTCAACCCAACCAAGTTCCCTATATGAACTTACTCTATGCTTTACAAAGACACAGGGCATCAGGTACCAACCAGCACCTAGGTTTTAACTTTCAATGAAGCTATCAAACAAATGCCATAACAGCTGAATTCATCTTCTACATATGGTAAACATACTTGATGAATATTTTTTGCCTCTTAAGCATCTCCAGGTGACATGAGGCAAGAGGAGTAAAGCCCTTGAAGGATTTCTTATTTCCTTTTTGTGGTAGGGCACAAAATTTCAAGGCCAAGTTGTTAAAATTTAAAAAACATTCAAAACAAACCCTAAATAATATATATATAGCTCATGCTAAGAGATTCAGACAGGAAATGCCATGGTCAAACAAGAGATGCCAACAAAATTACCATAATGCTAAAAAATGACAAACTAGAAGCAACATGAATGATAATGAGAGCTGCTGCACAAATCTCTAATCATAAGAATGGAGCAAAAGTCATATGTAAACTCCACTTCTCTTGTTGATAATGCTAAAAAGTACCATCATTTCCCAATGATTAATTTACTGTCTCTTCGAAAGAGGAGAAGAAAACAAGAAGGAAAGGGCAGAGATGGAGACAGATACCTTGGATTAGTAGGAAAAGGAAAGGGAAAGGAGATGTCAAGGGGTAGTAAATCTCTCCAAGCCCACCAAAATCAATCTGCCCAACAATGGACATATCGGAGAAAGGTTAGGGAACCTTTTACTTCACATTTCTGCCTGTCAAACCACACCCTTGTGTTAGCATATAAGCGTATAATACTAACATAAAGGAAAAGCCCTTGCCTTCCTACGCAACCAAACAAATGAAGAACAGAATACCCTTTCTGTCCCTCACCTTTTCCATCATTCTTAATGAAGTTTCAACAGCAGATATCATCAAATGTTCATGATCTCAGCAGAACCTAATTACCACCATACAGCAAACAAGATTGTGTGCAGGACCCCAGAGAGCAGAACTGTAAACCAGAGCATGTAGAGAAACTCATTGAATGAAAAATATCTTGCTATGAAAGGTAAGGGTTAACTCTAGCTCACAGACAGGTATGTTTATGCAGCTCCTCATGCACTAACCCAGTATGCTTATCCAACATCTAACTACAAGATTATTGATCAAAGCTGGATATTATAAGTTTACAACAGCCTAAGCAAGTCCTTGGCAATATACGAAAACTTCTGGTCAACTAGTAAGCCTAAAGATGCCAAATCATTTTCATTGACCACTAATTACAGAATGAACAGTAATAGTCTGCATGTTCCTACATTCTGAAGTAACCATTATGTTAACAAACATGGGAGGAAGAAGTGGCTCTTTTTCTGATATTTAAGCTCCAGAGTTTCCAGTACATACCACCTCCAGATGCCAGTACCACAACACATGAAACTGAGCGAACCTAAAGATACCTAGCAACCATACAGCATGAAAGAGAAAGCTTTACCATCCAAGACCGTGAACTTGCAACCTCTTTACTTTTTTCACAACCTGAGCTGCACACACGCGAAAGATAAAAAGAGTCTAAAATAATAGTATAAAAAAAAAAACTTCCCACATGATACAGAACAAATACCGTCATTTTCTCAGAGATATGCTGTATCACATTCTTCATCAGCTCAGCTTGTGATCCTCCACCAACAGTTTTTGGGAGGTAGAGATTGATAACATGCTAGTATATTTATCATCACTAACATTGATTTTGTTAGAATGAACAGAAGCCTGGTCATAAAATTTAAAATACACATTTTCCAACATGAATATATTAAGGTGATCTTAAAGGGTACAATGTGACTTGAGGGGGTACAATGTAGTAAAAGAGTGAATTTGATCTTGCAAGCAACTACTGGCATCCCACACGATGGGAGAAATTTTAAGAGATATACAGATAGACTTTAAAGAGATTTTACATTTCATAACTAAATCAAAGCATGGTTTCTACATAAAACAATTAGTGGCACAATTTCAGACTTTTGTTAGAATGAAGCACAGTCAATTTCAAATATATTAGTTAACAATAACAAAGAAATTCAATTTTTTTTTTTTTTGTGGGGGTCTTAGCTGACATTCACACAGTCTTATAAGCAAAATTCAAGAAGAATATAGTAACATAATCAAGAAAGTCGTCTAATTCCTGCTTATCAATCATGTGACTGATACACATCATTCCATTCATGGACTATATACCAATCTGCCAGTATTTTGAGTATCACCACTATCCTTCATTTTGAGCTCATTGGTTGAGTATCACCAATCCCGAATGTTCACAACTGATCCACCGTCCGCACCTCCTACATTCACTCCCAAAAATTGAAGTCAACGTCATGGTATCTCCACATCTTTCCCTTTTCGGTGCTGCACCTCAAGTCTTCAAGGTCTTCACTTGGATGGCTTGGTGGCTCTATCCTGGCTTTTCATTGTTTTCTCCGAGGGGCCTTTATCAATTTGCGGGTGCATCTTCAAGCAATCAGGAAAGTTGCAGAGTACATCAATGTGAGCAGATAAAGGAAGTATCTAAATGCCTCCAGGGACCTCAATTAAGTCCTTTTCAAACAATACAGTAGTGTACACCAATGAGGATCAGGTTAAGAAGATTATAATTAGCACTTTTATCTTATTTTCCATAATTTTCATATCTATCCCCAATATCTGAATTTGGTGTTGTTAAAGGCATCAAGTTGGTTGAAAACACTTGATCTTTTCCATCACCAACACAATGCAGTTCTTCGCAAGTAATAACAATTTGCAAATAAGATTTTGCCAAGTAAAAACGCTCCAACATCTAGGCTGGAGTAGAATAAATTCCAAGCAAATTAATTAACATCGTAAACTGCATTGATACAACCAATTCAACTGGCATTTAGTGCCCCCATTTCCAAATCGTTCAATTCATCATCTCTCTCACACTACCTTGAGCTAAGTTAAAGTCTTCTTTTTCCTATCACAAATGAAAATTGTTAATACCATTATCATCAAGATAGTCGCATACTCATTCAAGACCTTTTGGATGCCCTCTAGATACCCAAAAAAAAATCAGTTGTAAACACCATCAACTGATGTTCCTACCCAAGAAACCATATATTAGATAATATTTTCTGAATTCTCACTATAATAACTCTACAGAGAAGTCTCCTAACAAATCCTATCAACCCAGAAAAACCCCAAAAACATAAGTGATTGTTTGAAAGGACTTCACAGGATTTGATTTCCTTGAATATATTAGCCTATTCTATGTACACCATTTTTTCTTGAACCCTACTTGCTGTAAGACCTTGAGATGTTACATTCTGAATTTTTTAATTTTCTACATCAATAGCGGGTGAAATTCTAACTTTAAAACTTTGATTTGTCAAAAAATAAAATTATTGCAATGCTGAATGAATGCAAAAGTATGTTGAGAGAGTAGAAAAGCTCAGTAACACACGTAATAATACACATTAAGGTTGCATTTGGATCTTGGGTTTGAGAAGATATTTGTGGAGGAAAAGGAAAGAGGAAGGGAAATCTCTCCTCAAATCTAAGATCTTCCACTCACCCGTGTCCACACTTGAGGCCCTAAGTAGGTGTAGATGGCTCCCAAGGTTCCAGGAACCCAAGTCCCCAAAAATTCAAGAAAAATTATATGGCCCATGATGACCATGCTCTAATAGCTTCAACTTATCCATAGTCATTTTTTGTCTAAAGCTACCATTAATGTGTCTTACATGTTCTACTAATTACATATAATATAACTAATCTATGTTTGCAGTGAAAAGAGTAATGATATTATTGCTAGTTATGAATTGGTTATCCAAACCAAACCATTGCAGCTTTTGCAGACCAATATGACATCAAGAAGCACACCAGAGAAAAAAAGATAAAAATAAATAAATTGATAAAAGAATAAAAAGCAATCTGGGTTCTGATATTTAGCCCAATTCCTCTACTCACATCACATGCATTGGAAATTATACAGAAATAATCAGGAATCAGAATTGGAGAAAGAAAGAGAGGAAAAGGTGGAAATAACATTGGAGGAAACTGATAGATGAGGAAACAAAATTGACAGAAAAGACACACCCCGTGGGAGAGAACTCAGTTTCCTTGTGTTGCTGGCTCACGTCACAATCCATCCATTGTACCGCTGTCGGCATTGCTCCTCCTCCCTCCCTCCTCGTAGTCATCCATCCATTAGTACCTTCTCAAAGCCAAGCTGCGACTGCGATGCTTCAGTACCAGTCCCCAGAAGGAAAATTTAGAGAATAAAATGAGTTTTAAAATAAATGATAAAATAAAAAATGCACCCTTAAAATTGAGTAACGTAGTTGTGCAAATGTTTTATCAATATTTTTATTAAATTTTTTATATGGAGTGTTTTAGGAAAATGGTTAAAAATTGATTTTTTAATTTTTTTTACTGTTTTATGTGAGAGATTGCATGGCCTAAAATAGGTTAAAAATTGACTTTTGACTTTTAACTTATGTTTTCCAAAATGGGCCAGGTGCGAAACTTACATGGAACTCATATAGGCATTTGATAGAAATATTGGTAAAACGGTTCCTCACATTTTTCCTTAAAATTTATTTATAATACCGGTTGTGGTTATAGTTTTAAAAAAAAAAATGATACACAAATTCACTTTTTAGACTCACTTTATAGACTCAGTAATGTATTAAGAACATAATTGATTAATAGTTAGAGAACATTTAATTATTAATTAATTATCTTCTTAACATATCACTAAATTTAAAAATTGGGTTTAACTTTTGGATTTGAATAACAATATTCTTTGAAAAATTATAAATATATTTTTTTATTTAATAGAATTAATTTATAAATAAAATTTTTAACTGTCCTCCTATATAATAATAGAATTAATTAAAATATATTCTAACATCATTAAAAATATTAATTAATTTGATAATTTATTAATAATAATAATCATTTATTGTAAAATTATAAACTTTAAAAGGTGAGATGTTATTTCTAAAATTATTCTAAACTAACATTTGTAATTTTTACTAAAATAAAAATAAAGTAAAATTTTTAGTTTGGTTTGGTTTGATCTGATTTGACCTTTAGGTTTGGCGTGGCCGAAAACTCCAAAATTTAATTTTCAACTTTTTTTTAGTAAACTTTTAACATTTTTCTTTTTAAACCTTTTAGATGTAATTAAAAAAAATAAAAGTATTTATAAAAAATGTAAAATAAAATTACTACAAACAAAAAAAATATGAAAATGTAAATATGGTGATTTTTTTTTCAAATTGTTTTCAAGTATTTTATTTTCATTGCAAAAAAGGGGAATTCTCAGTATCTTTTTCCTGAAGGAATAAGATCACTAGGTCACTTTTGCATTAAAAAATTGTATTGTTAATAATGTTTTATCACTTTTATAATATTTGTAAGGACAATGCGCGCCAGTAATTACAATTTTGAGGCCATTTTGTCGAATCTGAAATTTTATATACTGTGCAAAATGTTTAAAACTTATAACCTATTGCCCATAAATTGAATCCTTATAACATGGATTGTTTAGTTGTTGATTTACTATAGTTTAATTTGTAAGTCACATTTTAAGAAAAATATTATATATCACTTAATTTTTATCACCGTTTTATAACAATCTTTACATAGGCATTACCGATTAATTTCTTCATTTAAAGATAATCATTAAAAAAGTAAGGAAAACAAATAACATTTTTATTATGCACTGATAACATAAAATAATAACAAAAAACCAAGTGATATATTAATATCACTCACTTCAAAAATTAAAACAGAATTCATTTTTGAAAAGAAAAAAGGGTCGCAACTTTCAAAAATTTCAAAATATTTTGAAAAAATTGTGTTTTTTTTTTTTATTGTTTTTTAAAATAAATTTTATCTTCTTTAGCCCTCACTTGCTACTTCCAACCATCACCTACCACTAAATACTATTTTCATCTATTACTTAGTTATCCATCATCTCTAACTTTCGATCAACCAATAATGATCCTATGTTAAATTTCGATAATCTTCCTATTATCTTTGGTGATTATATTTTGACAATCTCATTATTGGTTACTAACTCCAATAATTTATCAAACATATGTTTATATGTATTTGTATTTATATTTATATTTATTTATCAAAGTAAGTAATGATGCTGTCTCCAATTTAAGCCAAGACATCTAGTTGGTCAAGTCGTATGTCAATAACTTAATTCATACGAATAACAAACAAACAGAGCGCCAACAAATTTTGAAAATGAACAACATTTTTAAAGTCATAATCCACTGGAAAAGGCTTTCACTTCATATAAAATTTTAAAGTAGAATAAAATACAAAAAAATACAGCTATTACAGTTTGAATATAATTACATGATTTCAAATTTAATAAAGTTAAAAAAATTAAAATTAATACAAATAATATAAAAATAAACAAATAAAATTATATATTTTAACATAAAAGTAATTTTAATATCATTTTTCTATCGATATAACTAATAAATTATTGATAAAAATAAAATTAAGTATTATATGAATTAAAATTGTTAAATTTACGGTATTTTAATGAAAAAAAATTATGAGAATGGTTTGATTGTAAAAATTGTCTAATCTAAACAAACACGTCTTTAAGATGAAACATTTGAAGGATGACACACCATTGATTGAGGGAGTAGTAGCGTGTCTATCGCCATTTCCAAGTCCCATTTGCAATAATACGTCAGAGCCTCTCATTTTCAGACATTTTCGTCTCTAACTTTCTAGCATGCACTCTCCATTTTTCAATTCCATGCTTTCTACTTGAACGTGTTGTGATGTTGATCCATCAATGTCACTTTCCCATATTATTATTATTATTATTATACATATATAATGCTTACACAATCAAACAAAACAATGTGTGGCTTTCACTATGTTTTTTAATTAAAGTTGTTGAATTTTCGATTTTATTTTTTAACCAAAAGGGAACTTATATTTTTGGCTTCTTTCAAAGAAATTTCTAGCTTTGTTTATAGTGGGATTTAAAATTCGACCTTATCAGCTTCTACTCATTCAATAAAAATTGTAAAATATT